AGACTGGGGGCTGAAGGTTAAGATTGGGGGTCTCGGTGTGATGGCCCAGCTCATGTCCCAGAACTTGAAGCATCAGAATCTTATCTGGGTGGTTCCATGCGTCACTGATATCGAGTATCCCCAAGACACGCCTGCTGAGCCTTATGTGATTACGATACTAGATAACCCATATTTGGTGAAAGTACAGTATCACGTAGTCGAAAACATTACATATGTTCTGCTTGACGCTCCCGTCTTTCGTCAGCAGACTAAAGCAGAGCCCTATCCTCCCCGTATGGACGACCTTGATAGTGCAGTTTACTATTCAGCGTGGAATCAGTGTATCGCAGAAACGATGAAGCGATCACCGGCGATTGACCTGTACCATATCAACGACTTCCATGGGTGCCTGGCACCGCTTTATCTGTTGCCGACTCGCACGATACCCGTTTGTCTTTCATTGCATAACGCGGAGTTCCAAGGCCTTTGGGCGCTGCGAACATTGCAAGAAAAGAAAGAAGTTTGTTCTGTGTTCAATATACCACTTGAAATTGCAACCAAATACTGCCAATTCGGGAATGTGTTCAATTTACTTCACACCGGTGCTAGCTATTTGCGATATCATCAACGTGGCTTCGGCGCAGTTGGTGTGTCGCAGAAGTATAGCAAGCGGTCATGGGCTCGCTATCCAATTTTCTGGAGTCTTGATAAAATTGGCAGTCTCCCAAACCCAGACCCCTCCGACACAGGCACGTTGGAGGATAGCTCCGACGGGGAAGTTCCTATTCAGTCCTGCGATGAACGAATAAGCGAAAAGTTGAAGGCACAGAAGTGGGCTGGTCTGAGTGAGGATCGCAATGCTGATCTGTTGGTATTCGTTGGACGATGGTCAAAGCAGAAGGGCGTTGACTTGATTGCAGATGTCATACCGGCGGTATTGTTTGCGAGACCGCAGGTTCAATTGATCTGTGTCGGCCCTATCGTCGACCTATATGGCAGGCTCGCTGCTGTCAAGCTGGAGCGCATCATGGAAATGTTTCCAGGTCGTATTTTCTCGAAGCCAGAGTTTACTGTCCTGCCTCCCTATGTATTTTCTGGTGCTGACTTTGCCTTGATCCCCTCTCGGGACGAACCATTCGGACTGATTGCCGTTGAATTTGGACGGAAGGGTGCTCTTGGGATCGGCTCTCGCATTGGGGGTCTAGGCCAGATGCCTGGTTGGTGGTATACTGTGGAATCCGACTCAGCGCGTCATCTCTTGCATCAATTGAGAACGGCAATCAAGTCTGCTCTTGACTCGTCAGAAGAGACACGAAGGGAAATGCGGGCAAACTCTGCCAAGCAGCGATTCCCCGTCCTTGAATGGACCCATAAACTCGAAGTCTTGCAACGGACAGCAATCCACATCCATCATGCGAAGAACCGAACTACTACGGCGGGCCCCGCACGGTCACAAATATACTCAGAGATGCGGGACGAGCATTTCTCAACGGTGGCCCTTCCAAGACTCGATATGTCCCTGGCAGAGGGCTTGGACTCGCCACCAGTGAGAACATCACAACTCGCTCACCCATCTCTCCAAGAACTACAGGCAGCTGACCACCTTAGGGGCACTGAAAGTAACAGGAGCAGCATTCTGGGTCGCAAACTCTCGCTTGGACGGCGAGATGGCCCTGGCCAGGGCAGGAAGCGCCTTGTCAAGAAGTCATTGCGCGAGAGTCAAATTTCCGACCAGAGAGCTGAAAGTGATACCACGGACGCTGAAGACGAAGGTACCGACACGCCACAGGAGGATTACATTTCCCCCGAAGAGGCGGTGGCAGCCGTTAACCGGGCTCTTGGGTCTCAGGAAGTTGGTTCTTATCGAAACAACAGCTGCCACTCTCCACGCTGGTCCGAGATATCTACCCCGGACTCGTCAAGTTTTGTCTCGCGGGAGTCTTCTCCAGTGAGAGCTCCTCTCTCTCACATCCGCAATGTGTCTGTTCTTTCGTTGCCGTCTGTCATCGGCGATCACGATCAATCTGTCTTCGAGCTGCAGAAGGTCGATCCAACCTTTACTGACAGAATGGGTCACTTCACGCGGCACTTCGAAACGCTTCTGACCAAGCTGAATACCAAAAATTCTATCACGGACTACTGTATTGAGACGTACTTGATGAAGAGCGAGCGGAAATTCTTCAACATGTACAATGACGCGCAGTTGAAAGTTCAGCCTAAAGAACGTGCACTGGATGAAGCTGCTTCGGAGGATGCCCTCGATAATGCGGCGTATACTCGCGTTTCTCGGGTTCCTGGAGAGCTGGAAACTAATGATCTTGGTGAAATTGATGAATGGCTCTCTCGGCTGGGATACAAGAGACCGATTGCCATCCAGAGGTTTATGAGACGCCGTGTTGGAAATTGGCCTGTCTACGCTCTGTTCTTGGGCCTTGGCCAGATCATCGCGACAAACTCGGCACAGGTAACTCTTCTCGTTGGTCAGGTAGGCGAGACTGCTGTTAAGCTCTACATTATTGCGACCATCTATTGCGTCTCAACTATCGCTTGGTGGACTCTCTTCTACCGCTTCCCATCGGTGATTGTCCTCAGTCTCCCATGGCTGTTATACTCCCTAGCATTCATGGTCATCGGCGTTTCACCCTTCGGGATCACTAGTCTCGGTCGAGCATGGGCACAGAATGTTGCCGCAGGCGTCTATGCGGCTGCCTCTTCCAGTGGATCTCTGTTCTTTGCGCTGAACTTTGGCGACCAGGGTGCAATTCCCGTGAAAGACTGGATGTTCCGCGCAAGTCTTATCCAGGGAATCCAACAGATTTACACGGTTGCACTGTGGTACTGGAGCTCCAGGGTCACTGCGGTAGAGATTGGGGGCGTTTCTACGGCTACTTTAAATACATGGAAACTCACTGCTGTGGTGATCCCTATCGCCGCAGTATGTCTTGTCATTGGCGTTGTACTTGCTCTTGGCCTGCCGAAATACTATCGTCAATCTCCTGGAAAGGTCCTATTTTTTGACACGTCACTCTTCCGCCGGCGTATTGTTCTCTGGTTCTTCTTCATGGTCATTATCCAGAACTGGTTCCTCGCTGCGGCGTTTGGCCGGAACTGGTCTTTCTTGTGGTCATCTAAACATGCCAAGACATGGGAGGTGGTACTTTTAGTGGTATTCTTCTTTGTCATTCTTTGGATAGTTGCGCTACTCATTTTCCGATTCCTATCCAAAGAGCACAGCTGGATCTTACCCGTTTTCGGACTAAGTGTTGGCGCACCGCGCTGGGCGCAAACTTGGTGGGGAACCTCTAACATCGGATTCTACCTCCCGTGGACAAGCAGTCTGACCTCCGGGGCTCTCGCCTCTCGCTGTGTCTGGCTCTGGCTGGGGTTCCTTGATGAGATTCAACAAGTCGGCCTGGGAATGATCCTTTTGCAGACCCTAACCAGAGTCCATGTCTGCTTCGTCCTACTAGTCGCCCAGATTCTTGGGTCTATCGCTACCATTTGTGCCCGTGGATTTGCTCCAAACAATGTCGGTCCGGCAGGCATCTCTCCGGATGTGGGCTCGTCAACGGACAAAGTAGCCAATGCGTGGTTCTGGGCCGCCCTTTTCTTCCAGCTTTTGGCCAGGTCAGTGACATTTCCCTATTCTATTCGAGAATCGTACTAACTGTCCGCTTAGTTTTGGGTTCCTTTTATTTTATCGGCGCGAACAGCTTAACCGACCCTGAGCTGTCTACAACTTTTGCATATCGGATCTGCAGATCGCATCACCAAGTGTCAACAATTGGAGTTGTCATCCAAATCCAGGCAGAGCCATGAGTGAACGTAAATCAAAATGCTAGATGTTCATAGATGTTTGACTTTGAATCTTCCAGGCATATTGTGCCTGTCGGAGGTAACACTTGCCGTGCAAATGAATCGTTGACTGAATTCATATTAATTAAGCCTGTCATATATATGGTCTAATCTAATAAGTTCGATCTATCGTGGCTAAATGTTTTTCATTAAATGCAACAAATTGGCTGCCGGATTGTAATGTCACCTTGCGCGGGAATATATCCCCTGCAGACGAGTGAAGTGATCTCCACAATAGTTGAATGGAAAACTCTCAAGTGCTCTTGAATAATGACACCCTGAGGGCACCAATTAAAAGAAGGAGCTGGAGCTTCATTAAAGCATGACAGGATTTGAAGAATTGTCTCTACGTGAAAAAAGGCTTCACCTTATCCTCCGGAGACTCTTCATCCCCATCGAAGCATCTACATCCTCTGCGGCATGCATGACGCGCAACACATTACATCATAATAAACCGGCTACATCCTCCACCGATAGCCACCGATCTAACAATTTCTGAATGAGATCAGAATACCGACTGACATCCTCTAACGCCCGGACTCCCGCCACCATACTATCAAAAACGGATCCCGGCCCAACCTGACGGTGGCCAACCAACTTACCAATATGTTGTATGTGGATGACAACATCGTCGATGGAAACCTGGGGTGGGTCATCGCAGCGGGTATAAGCAGGGTGATACGAAGCGATGACAACTCCCTGGTTTTGACGAACACATGCGGGGACGTTGCGCACATGAGGGCAAAGAGTGTACGCAGATTAGTGCGAGAACATAACTGGTGCGATAGTAATGTTGAGGGCGTCTAGCATCGTCTCGCAGCCGTCGAGTGAACCCATTTCTCAAATCGCTGCCCGCCACGACTATTCTTTTCCCAACTTGACTGTCACGCTCCTCAATGTCCCATCTCGACCACTGATACTTCGAAATCAAGCACTGGGTTAGAACCCCATTCACCCGTCGTAACGAATATTTTTCCCGAGTCTAGCTTTCTCAGAGAGAGACGAGTCTCTGCGTTCCCTACGCCAGTTGAAATAAGAGCTATCAACAAAAATTCTGGCAATCTTTACGCCACAAATTTCAACCGCCCCCTCTTGTCAAGATACCGTCTCTTGGACTGGTGGTTAAGTACGGAGCCGACGTGACCGTGACCGAGGCTCAAACTCAAATGAGAATACGCGAGCAACTACAAGGACAGGTATCTACTCCTGAGATTTTTGGCTGGACTGAGGATGAAGGACAGGTCTTTATCTACATGTCCTTGATCGAGGGCGAGACTTTGCAAGAGAGATGGAGTGGCATGGATGACGCTAAGAGACGGGCCGTCTGCGAACAACTTAAAATATATTGTGAAAACATGGAGGGCCTTAACGCAGGACAAGCAAGACTGTTATATCGGTACGTGCATTCCCTCGGATATAATACATAAGCAACCTTAATCTGAAATCTACTCCACAGGCAGTTTCGGTAAGCAACCACTGAGTGAGGCATTCGGCGATTCCCACCCAGAACTCGCAGGTCCATTTCAAGGTGTGAACGCCATTCAACTGTTTCACGATGCTTGCGGAATTGAGATCGACAGCGAAGTGCCTATCGTTTTCACTCATAGCGATTTTTTTCTACCCGACATCCTTCTATCGCTTGGGTCGAATCCACAAGTAGCAGCGATCATTGACTGGGGTCAGGCTGGGTGGTATCCTGCGTACTGGGAGTATTGTAAGGCACGACGAGTGAGAGTGGATCCAGAGTACTTTGGTGATACTATTCAAGAAGAATGGCACATGAAATATCTGCCAATGATCTCCTGGATCCTATGAATGATGAGAAATACTACCACCCTTGGCTTTGGTTTGTGTTATCTAAGGGCATCTAAATAGAAGTGGGCTTTGTGAGCCAAAGCGACCGTAATTACTGCTTTTAAATCATGTGGGTCTAGCGTTTTCAACGGGTTCTCCGGGTTTGCATCGAACCTGCCAGCTGCCCAAGCGCACAGCCCCCACCCTTCCCTTCTCCAGCTTCGCAATAACTCTTCAAAGCCTTATAATAGATAATTTTCTATGCCAACCCTTTCAAAGTGTGCAATTTGCTTATAGAATATCAGGCAATCCATGTTACTGCGTGTGCAGTGTTTATTGTCCTACGAGAGATCATTCTTAGAAGACTCAGGATAGAAATTTTTTTGGCAGAGCGCCAGACGTGCACGTCCGATTCGCTACTGGTTGACCAAACATTGTGCCTTCTTGGCTTGTTACAATGTAGCCTAGTGGTCAATCCCAAGCAACCGCGATCCCTGGCAATGATAAGATCCAGATGTGGCTGTCCATGGTGCACTATTCATGCGCATGCCAGTGCAGCTTTTGGTCGCTCGATATTTTATACGCTGTTTTTAACCTCGTAGAAAGATTGGTATCTCTGACGACAAATCTCAACTGTAGGGTCTGTTTTGTATACCGCATGCTGCGTGCCCGCAGATCTCTATCCCTTCGATTCTTGGGCGATTTCAACGACAGCCAAATTGGGTTTAGGGCCATTGGCAGTATCGGTGCAAATATGAAGCTTCGCAGAACCTGGTGGATTGCTACAGCGTGTATTATTGAAGGGAAAAGGGCACGTAGTGCCTGTAGGAATGCCCTCCAAATAAACATATCAATGACGGATACAGTCAACTCTCGCTTATACCACAGCATACTATCCAAGCCAAATTACGTGGTATAATTGAGTTGTGTTTTGGTGAGAGGATGACATAATATTTGACAAGCTAACTCTAAGCCCTAATACCTATTTAGTCTTCCATCCCATCATCTGATCCAAAGTCACCTGACGTTTCTCATCAATCTGAATCCTGCCAAAGTCGCTGATTAAGCTCTCAATTTGTCTAATATGGTCCGAGGTACCCTTTTCTTTGCTACAAACCCATAGTAGGATATCCTGGAGGCTGTCCAATATAGCAGAATTAGACAGAAGCTCAGGTGGGGGCCCATCAATGTCAATATCCTGAATTTCTGAGGTTGTTGGGGCAATATATATATCTTGCTCATTGGTCTCATCTCGCCCTTCAGTCCCATCTTCTAACATGTCTTCGTCCGAAGGGTTCAAAAACTCGTCAAATGGCACAATATCTTTATCACCAAGCTTATCAATTGCTTGATTATATAGACTTTCAATCTCATCACTCAATCCGGGCTCGGAAAATAGTGCAGACTCAGGTGCGGACTTGGGCGCGGACTCAGGTATAGGTATAGACTTTGGACTAATCAAAGTACTTTGTTTAAAGCAATTGATAATCGTTTGGTCTGATACACTTGTTCTCCAAACTTGCGTTACCCAGGTAACAGTATAATAAATGCTCATTCTTTGTTTTGGGTCTATCCCACGATCAAGAAAAGCAATCATATAGCGCATCCATTTCTTCCGATAATGGTGCTTCAAGTTTTGGATAATACCTTGGTCCAAGGGTTGATAAATTGAAGTTGCGTTTGCTGGCAAAAAAACAACCGTAATCCGGGGTGGTGGTGGCGCTCGCTGGAGTCCAATAACATGTGGTGAAGCATTGTCTAAAAGGAGCAAAGCTTTCTTATCTAAGGGAATACGCCCATAGAAAGATCGCAACCAGTCCTCCATAATGTCATGACGCATCCATGCTGCCTTGTTGTGACGCCAAACACATCCCAGAGCTCGGAAATTAACCCCCCGGAGTGCGCGAGGGGTTTTTGCTGTGCCAATCAACCATAAAGGGACTCGATCGGAACCATCCGCATTTGATGCAACAACAATAGTGATTCGTGTTTTATCAAGCTTTTTGCCAGCAATTTTTCCCTTTGAAAGACCACCATTTGGCATACGTCGCCAAAATAGGCCAGTTTCATCCATATTGTAGATTTCGGACGGTTTGAATTGATTGCAAATCGATTTGGTGCTTTTGATCTGATCATGTACCGAGGATGGGACTGAGGCAGCTTCTCCGTGGAAAGTATGATATTGAAGAGAGTGGCGTTGTTTGAAGCGAGTTAACCAACCCTCAGAGAATTGAGGTTTGGTCCGATCTTTGTATTCCGGTATTTGTCTCCAAAGCTCAGCTGCTTTAGTTTGGATCAAAGGGCCATTTATTGGTATTCCATTGCCAATATGGTTATCTGCCCAGTCATATAGCTTTTGGTCCAATAATGGCCAATGAGAGGATGAAGATCGTTTGTTTGCCCCTGCAGGGCCCGTATCAAGATAATTGTATTTGGATGAAAGGATCCTTGATATGGTTGACCGGTCAATCACTTGTTTGAATTGGTCCTCAAACCACTTAGCACATGCAGTCTGCGTGGGCTTTGGGCTAGTATTAGACCAAAATGCCCGTAGTGCCTGTTTCTGCGCGTCTGATATACCCAATTTGGTACGCTTTGGTCCCATTCTGACGCGCTTGGGTGGGGTCGGGAGGGTAGGAGAGCTTGTAGATTGAGGCATTCTGATTGGTTGATTGCGCTGACTAAGCAGATTTGAGAGGAAGAAAGTGTGGTAAAACAAAATGTGTTATATTCTGTCAATTTATATGGAAAAAACTGGAATGAAGGGGCCATCCAAGCAAGGGATGTGTTATTATCAAGAATGTGCAATATCCCACCGTGGTATAAGCGAGAGTTGACTGTACTGTCAAAATGGGTCTTTCATTTCTCCGAGAATCTTTCAAAATCGACTGTCCACTCTGACGATATCATCGGTGCTTTGCTGCGCTCTTGTCAATCCTAAAATTCGGAGAAATTATACTAGTGTGAGCAAGCTATGAAAATTCTCATCGTGAGACAACGATCTATTAAATCCCTAGCTTGCCATCAAATTCATCCAACTCGCTATGGGCTGGATTATCCCGACCGAGAAAATTCAATATGCTACTATCTGCTATTCAGAATTGACGGCTTCGTGCAATACATCCTCATCCAGTTTTGGCCTGAGCACAACCTGCAATCAGTCATCTTTCTATCGTTAGAAGATCCCACCATTGGCGAAAGCATCAATAGCTTCCTGAGCGCATTCGTGGCAGCGGCGAAATAATCGCACGACCAATCCATCCTTCGGTCAGAGAGCTTCCTTCCTCTTTCGTTTTTCCATCTGCACAACTCATTTCTCTTGCTGGAGCCGTGACAGGAAATCGATGATCTTCACATAGTCAGCAACTTCGATAGTTTCATCCAAGTCTATCTTAGATCCCTCACCTGACCAACGCTCAGCGTAATTCATTACTTCAGCATAGCGACCATAATGATGATGGTGATGATGATGTATTCATTTGCCCGATGTAGCTCGCTCTATATATATGCTGCTATGCGGGAGTGCTGTCAGGCCTGCCGACAGCTGGAAAAAGGTGGTCGCCAGCCCACTGGGCGACCGTTGGAAACTCGTACGAATTTCTGGTCAATCGCCCTCGAATGGAAATCTGTAAATGATAGGTTCTATTTGGGACTGTTGCGTGAGAGCCCCTTGCGTCGGGCCCACGATATCCCGTGCTGGACATCGCACACAAATATCGCCTGGCCTTCCCCTCCCTCGAAAAGAACATCGCCGTTTCGAGGGAGAGCCGGGCTCTCTCCGCGACGGTTTCTTCCCGCCCACCGCGGAACCCCCTCATGTATATACCACGTATGCTCCCGCATAGCTATTTTTCCTCCTAGAATATACGGAGTGCCACGGGCCCGCCTGCAGCCCTCACGCGCTGTAGCCCTCCGTCAACGAGGCCTACATCGCCAGTGTTCAGACCGCAGGTGCCCCGTGCGGGCCAAAATATCTCATCCGTCTCCATTTGTGCCAGTGTAGCAATGGTTAGAATAGAATATAAAAAACACTCTCTCAAGTACTCAATTGGCTATGCCCGTACTAGTCCGTACTGTAACGACCACGTTCCGGCATATTCAAGTCCGACAACCTGCTACTGTAAAACCTCCAAGTCGAATACTAATACGGGGCTGGCCCTCTCCTTTGGAACTTGACAGTGGGAACTAGTCCGCAGACAACCCGCGAGATGGGTTCAACTTTTCGAAGTCTGATGTTTAATGGATTTAATATCATGAGAATAGGTGATATGGCAAGAACAGTTCGCTTGAGCATTCAAAGAGAGGCATAGCCGCGTAATAAGCCACAGGTCGTGAAGTATATTCTGAGGAGTACACAGACCACTTAATCTCAAATTCGCCTTCCGTTGGTGCCAACACACACTGACGGGGGTGTATGTCAGGAGTGAGATGCAACCGCGCTGCAGCTGTAGCGCTGGACGACAGCCTAGAGATTACAGAAGCATCACAGGTTCAGGTCGAGCCGATATGCCAATGGTCGGTATACGCCGCCGAGCTGATATATATATATATATTCGGGATCTTATGTGCCATCGTCAATATAAGCAAGCCGAATTCTCATAGAAAGAGCCGAATCCGAAACCTCATGTGATCAAGGGCTCAAGTCTGTCAGATACAAACAGAAGAAACCAAGATTGAAGCGTGAAATATGGAGCATAGGTGAATCAACGTATGCCCCGACACAGTATAGGGCTTGGGTGAACGATGAGTCAGGACTTGAATAGGCCTATGAGAGTAGAACCACCCTCCGATGCCGTTAACCAAAGCCATAAAGATATAAGAGGCTGTCAGTCGAGATATACCAGAAAAGACAGCATTGTAGAGCGAGGTGCTGCATAAAACCAAAGCTCCAAACTCTCCAATCGCCGGCACTCGTTCTCTCTTCTCTCTTGGCCAAGTTATCAAATAAGTGGCACAGACCAGCCCGCCCAGTGTGACTCCCAGGAAAATGGAATTGTTGTTCCCCCTATCAGTAGCCTCTA